TCCAGCCCAGATCCCTGCTAATGTGCCTGGGCAGTCAGAAGATGGTCCAAGAACTTGGATCCATGCCACCCTTGTGGGAAACCAGGATGCAGTTCAGGGCTCCTGGCTTTAGCCTGGTCCAATCCCAGCCATTGCAACCATACGGGGAATGAACCAGTGGATGGAAGATCCATGTCCCTCTCTTTCTCCAACTCTGCCTTTTGAATAAATAATTTTTTTTTAAAGATGCTATAGGTTTACGCTGGCACCGTGGCTCAATAGGCTAATCCTCCGCCTGCGGCGCCGGCATGCCACCAGGTTCTAGTCCCAGTCGGGGTGCCGGATTCTGTCCCGGTTGCCCCTCTTCCAGGCCAGCTCTCTGCTGTGGCCTGGGAGTGCAGTGGAGGATGGCCCAAGTCCTTGGGCCCTGCACCCACATGGGAGACGGGGGAAAGCACCTGGCTCTTGGCTTCAGATCAGTGCGATGCGCCGGCCGCAGCGGCCATTGGAAGGTGAACCAACGGTAATGGAAGACCTTTTTCTCTCTCTCTCTCTCACTGTCCACTCTGCCTGTCAAAAAATAAATAAAAAAATAAAAAAGATGCTATAGGTTTGCATGAGATACCATTAATATTCATAGTACTGCGCTTAAAATGGTTTCATTTTGTCCTACTTTGTATTTTGAAATAGATTTTTCTCCTGCAAGTTGTACATAATTTTAAATTCATTATCTATATCTTTATGAGCCACTGAACCTAGATATGGATATTGAACATTATTTTGTTTTATTTATTTATTTTTTTAACAGGCAGAGTGGACAGTGAGAGAGAGAGACAGAGAGAAAGGTCTTCCTTTGCCGTTGGTTCACCCTCCAATGGCCGCCGTGGCCGGCACGCTGTGGCTGGCGCACCGCGCTGATCCGGTGGCAGGAGCCAGGAGCCAGGTGCTTTTCCTGGTCTCCCATGGGGTGCAGGGCCCAAGCACCTGGGCCATCCTCCACTGCACTCCCTGGCCACAGCAGAGAGCTGGCCTAGAAGAGGGGCAACCGGGACAGAATCCGGCGCCCCAACCGGGACTAGAACCTGGTATGCCGGCGCCGCAAGGCGGAGGATTAGCCTAGTGAGCCGTGGCGCCGGCCAATATTGAACATTATTTTATTTTGACATAACTTTTTATATCTTTTTTATGTTTATCATTAAGGACTAGAAAAAAGGTTTTTTTTAAAAGGTTTATTTATTTATTTGAAATTCAGGGTTACACAGAAAAGGAGAGGCAGAGAGAGAGAGGTCTTCAGTTGGCCACAATGGCCGGAACTGCACCGATCAGGAGCCAGGAGCTTCTTCCGGGTCTCCCACGCAGGTGCAGAGACCCAAAGACTTGGGCCATCTTCCACTGCTTTCCAGGCCATAGCAGAGAGCTGGATCGGAAGTGGAGAGACAGGACTCAAACCAGCACCCCATGGGATGCTGGCACTGAAGGTGACCACACCACAGCACTGGCCCTGAAAAAGTTTGTATTTTAAAGGAAATTGATCTTTTCCCTCTTTTTTTTTTTTTTTTTTTTGACAGGCAGAGTGGACAGTGAGAGAGAGAGACAGAGAGAAAGGTCTTCCTTTGCCGTTGGTTCACCCTCCAATGGCTGCCGCGGCTGGCGCGCTGCAGCCGGCGCACCGCGCTGATCCGATGGCAGGAGCCAGGAGCCAGGTGCTTTTCCTGGTCTCCCATGGGGTGCAGGGCCCAAGCACCTGGGCCATCCTCCACTGCACTCCCTGGCCACAGCAGAGAGCTGGCCTGGAAGAGGGGCAACCGGGACAGAATCCGGCGCCCCGACCGGGACTAGAACCCGGTGTGCCGGCGCCGCTAGGCGGAGGATTAGCCTATTGAGCCGCGGCGCCGGCCGATCTTTTCCCTCTTAATAAGCTTTTTGTGCCAAGGCAAGCATGTCTTTTCTTACCTCGATCTTACTTGCTCTTCACTTACCTGCATAAATGTGAAAACAGAGCAGTGTCCCAAGGAACCAGTGCCTGAGACCTTGAAGTTAACCCTGGACTGGAAGCACAACTCTAGTTGTATTCTATTAAGATTGTGGTTTAATTTAAAAGTCATAATCTGGGGGCCGGCGCTGTGGCTTAGTGGACAAAGTAGTGGATAAAGCCTGCAGTGCCAGCATCCTATATGGGCGTCAGTTCGACACCTGGCTGCTCCTCTTGCAATCCAGCTCTCTGCTATGGCTTGGGAAAGCGGTAGAGGATGGCCCAAGTCCTTGGGCTCCTGCCTGGGAGACCGGGAAGAAGCTCTTGGTCCCTGGCTTGTGATCAGCGCAGCTCCAGCCGTTGCTCTGGCTGTTGTGGCCATATGGAGAGTGAACCAGCGGACAGAAGTCTCTCTCTCCCTCTCCTTCTCTCTGTGTAACTCTGACTTTCAAATAAATTAATAAGTCTTAAAAAAAAAAAAAGACAATCTGTGCCAGGCTGTTTAAATTAAAATGTGTGTTTTTGCAGTTTGTAAATTTCAACATGTTTTCCTCTTTCATTTTCTGAAATCCATTTTGATCTCACCTTATAATATGTTCACAATTTGATCCTTAATAAAATCTGCAAATCATATTTGGTTAACCCAATCTTTCCTGTTCTGATTATTCCAAATTATTAGATTCCACATCTCTGTTCCTGGTTCTTTCTACTGTTGGAAAACCGTGTCAGCTGACACCTGTAGAGTCATTTGTGGAAGCGTGGGAAGTGACCATGCTCTAGAGGCCAACATTGTTACTGTACATGGAACTAAAGCTGGGGTCCTGAAGAATGGGAAACTGTAGTTAGTCCTGTGGGCCACGATCCTCAGAGCAAGGCAGGCAGTAAGCCTTCCACCTCTGACATTGGACATTTGAGCATCTGTTGGGCTCACTTCTCAAGGCATTTTGAAGTGGTGTCCTGTGTCCTGTCGCCTGCGCTCTGCTCACGTGCCCTCCCGTTGCCCCTCAGTACAGTGCAAAGCCTGTGCGGTGTGCTTGCCCTGCCTGCCCACAGCTGCTTCCTTTCCAAAAATCTCTCAAACCACTGACAGTGGCCTTGATGCTGACTGACTCCGGCGTTGGGCAGTGTCCACCACTTCACAAATGAGACCCAAGGCGGGACCCTGTCCCTGACTCACCTCCTTCCCGAAGCCTTCACCAGGTGCCCCCTTCGGGAGACTGGAGCTTAGGGTTCTGCCATCGACTCCCAGAGCCCCACTTAGCTCTAACTTCCTAGTCTACAAACCCTGAGACACCTTGACTCTGGCCCTGCCCGCTGAGGGAAGCCCACTCTCCTCATTGTGGCAGGGATCCCTCTGTCATGTCAGGGTGTGTGCTGGGCCCAGGAGGTTGCACGCACCTCTGAATTCCCAGCCAGGGGCTGGCTCAGTGGCCCTCAGAAAGCTTGTAGGAGGAGGGATTCTTCAAGGCAAAACTTCGAGTTTCCTCTCAGCCTATTCTCCCTCTCCTCACTCTGGGTTGGGAGCACGTCCCTTCCTGTTTAGCCCACACCAGTCCTGCCACCTACGTTGGCAGAAAACTCCAAGGGGATGAGTCATGGCTGCCTTCGTCACAGAGCATAATACACACTCCTGGCCACCTGTGGGCCGGTGAGGTTTGCTGGTCACTTCTTCCTGTCTGCCTTTAAACCACTCGATCCTTCAGGTGACGGCGGCAAGATCTGGGAGTCTGCCCTCGTTCAGTCTTCAAGGACTCACTCTCCAGCTGGTCTCCCACACTAGCCGCCTCCTTGCACACGGCAGGTGTCAGAAGTAGGCACTCACACATGTTCTCAGACACGCGCTGCGCAGTTCACTGGAGAAGACAGTCTGCACAGTATCCGGCCTGCATGGCAAAGGATGAGAGACAGTGTGGAGCACGTTGTGTTCTGCACAGTCAGTGTTCAGTAAATGCAGAATGGCTTGAACAATTCTGATGGTTTTCAGAAAAGAGACGTCACTGCCCCCTTGTGGTGACGGCTGGCACTGGGACAGCCCTGCAGGAGGACCATTAGGGCCGACAAGGAGGATGTTGGCGCGTGCTCCACACGGAGGAATGCAGGCGGTGGTGAGAACAGGCTGGGTAAGCAGGCTGGACCAGGTAGAAGAGGCCCTGGAATGTCACCCCGGAACCAGAACTTTGGTGGGTAACACCCGCGTCTGCCTGCTTGATCGGAGCCGCACCTGACCTAGAGCAGACCCTCCGTGGATACCCTGAGTACTTGCAGAACCACGTTGGGAGCGGTCACTCACGGGCGCAGGTCTGTAGTTGAACATGCACAAACCTTCACCTCGACTTCTCACTGCACTCAATATTCCTGTTCCGATTATCGCCAGCCGCTGATGACTCGCAGAGGAAACAATCCACCTTCCTGCATTAGCCGGGAGCTACTCCACGGGCAGCTGGTTAGAATGTGTGCAGCCATTGTGTACACAAAGGCTTCTCTTCCGGGTTCAGTGAGCCCAGCCCCTTCAATTACGTGACCTGTGTGTCACCGCCCTGGCCACTGGGAATTAGCCGTGTTTACCGGTGTCCCAAAAAGCATGACCTCAGTACTGAGCAAGCGTCCAGAAATGTTCGCATTCTGGCTTGGAAGGCGTCCTCCGAGCGTCCTGAAATTCCACTTCAGACGCGTTTTCCGTACTTCCGCCCCCTCCTCGCTCAGACCCTGGTCCCCGCAGACCCGCCCTCTACCACGCTGCGGTCTGCACGACGGCAGACAAGCAGGAGGCGCGGGAATACTGCCGCGGACCCGGCGGGCGCGCGCGGACCCGGCTCCTGCACCCCGGCGGCGGGAGTCCCAGCTCGGCGCCCTTTCCTCTGATTGGGCGGCATGAGGCCGGATGGGCGGGCAGACCAAAAACCCTCGAAATGATTGGTTGGTCGTGGGAAGAAGGGGGCCCTCCGGAATTCCCGCTCCGGCCGCAGGGGCTGTGCGGTCAGCAGGGGGCGCGCGTCCGGGTCTTCCCGGCAACCGGTGACAGGGCCGCGAGGGGCCGGCCACTGGCCAGCGGGGAGAGAGCGTGACCCCATCCCAGCGCCGGACGCCGCTCCGCTCGGCGGCCGCGCGCTGCTCAGCCACTTCCTCGGTCCACGACGCGGGGTCGGCGGGCCCGCCCAGCCGGAGCTGCGCGCCGTCACAGGAGCCATTCGGCGACCGGTGAGGGGCCCGAGGGACCGGGCGGGCGAGGGTGGCGCGGGGCAGCGGCCCAGCCGTCGGCCGCCTTCCCCCTCCGCCCCGGAGACTCGCGTCCACCGCGTCGAGACAGCCGCCCTGCCACGAGTGACGCGGCGGGGCGGAGGCGGGGCGATTGGCCCGAGGCGTGCGTGGGCCACGCGCGGCCGCTTCTCCCGGCCCGCGCGTCTTCGCGGTCCTTCCGAGTGACCTTCAGGGCCGGCGAGCCCCCGGGGCACTGACAGCCGCTGGGCTCCGAGGGCGTCAGAGACCCGCGCTCCCCGCCGCGCCCGGGTGGGAAGGGGCTCGCGGGGCAGAGCCTTCTCCGCGAGGGGCGGCAGCTGACCCCGCGCCCGGGGACTGACCGCGCGGAGACCGCAGGGGCTGCATCCGAGGCCAAGCCTTCCCCGAGCCCCTCTGCCCCGCGTGAGGGCTGACAGCGGCCTGGCAGACTGTGCGGGACCCCTCGGGAGGCACGGTCCTGAGCACCGTTCTGGACTCGGGGCGGCTTCCATGTCGAGAGAGCGGGCACGCCGAGTGCCCGGTCCAAGGTCACCCGGCAACGTGGCCGCTCGCCTCTGCTTCCGGGCCGGTGGCAGCCCCAGCAGTGCTTGCAGGGTGTGCCGTGAACGGGGCCCTTCCTCCAGGACCTCCCTGGCGGGGCAGAAGACTGCACGTTCCGGGAGGCTCCCTCCACCGCGGGCCTCGGTTTTGTCCTTGTCAGGGACGGAGGATGGATTCCTGCTCTGTGGGTTTCTGCCTGCCTGCGTGCTCACCCATACCTTCACACCTCTCAGACTTCAAAGGACAACGTTTGCGAAACCACAACTTACAAAAGAACGTTCGGATCAAGTCAGGCGTGAGCACCCCAGCTACCTGCCCTCTCAGAGTGGACCTGGAGCTGAAGGGAGCAACTGTTTGAAGAACTGGACCCTGTTTCTGTTACGGGGAGGAGGATGCAGGGGTGGCCGCTCCCGGTCTGAATTCCATCCCCCACCTTTGCCTGCTGGAGCACGGTTAAGATTTCCCATAGTGGGTGGGCCCCGTTCACTGATTAATTCAGAATACAGCCAAGTAAGGGCGGGAGAGCAGCATGGGGGACCTCTCCCAGAAAAGGGGTATTTGAGAAGGGGCTCTCACGGAGGGGAAAGAGACCAAAGCAGGCTCTCGGAAGCCATGTACACCTTCCTCTGCCCTCTACCCCCCGCCCAGAGTGAGGAGTGTGTCCGTTGTGTCCGTCTGGTCTGGATGTCAAGGGGTCTCCCAGTGTCACAGAATCCTGGAGACAGCGTCTCTCAGCTCCCAGGAGGAAACCAGAGACTCACCTCTCCAGGATGTAGCTACAGCTCCACCGCCCCCTCCTGCTCCCTCTCCTAATGGGAGTCGTCCTATTTCCTGGCCCAGGGCCCTGAGATTGATTCAATACCCACAGAATACACCCTGGGTGCTTGAGCAGCATCTCGCCTCCTCATCCTCTGGCTGCTTGGTGCTTCGTACGGAGCTGCACAGTCAGGCCTGTTGTCTCTGCTAAGTGAGCTTCTATGCACCGGCCAGGCCTCAGAAAGCTTGGAGGGTGCCAGGGGAAAGGGACAGGTAGACCACTTGGCCTGCTGTCCTGTCCCTGCACCCCACTGTGTGCCTGTGTTGGATGACTCTGGACAAGCCTGCACAGGAACCTCAGATCATAAGGGATAACGAGTAACGCCCACTTCCCATACAAGAAGGGGACACATGTGCAAACATGTTGATGGCACTAACGCCTGGGATGGTTTCACCTTCTGAGTAGCAGTGAGAGAAAGTTGTATAGGTCATGACCCCAAGTCCCAGCCAGGTCTCCTCCTCTTTCCAGAAGAGAGGTGGACTCTTCAGGAGGGGCTGATCAGAGGCCAGAGCGTGGGAAGTGAGAACAACGACCCTCCTGCAGGGCCCAGGGGCCCTGAATCGGGCAGGTTCACAGCCCTCTCCCACGGAGTCTCCAGGTGCTCCGGCATGGGCTGCTCACCCTCTGTGAGTTGTTCCAGGGCTTGGAAAGGCAGTCTGTGTCCAATACAAATAAAATATGAGCCAATTTATCATCTTGAATTATCTTTAACATGGGTGAAATTAATTTTTGTACTGTTTAACCCAATAAATCCTAAATACATCAACATTAAGTATTACTAATGAGATATGTTGCATTATTTTCCCATATTAAGTCTGAAATGAGGAGTGCGTTTGGCCCTTACAGCACCATCTCAATCTGGATGAGCCACACTGTGAGTGCTCAGTCACCTGCTGTTTCTCTCTGCCACTGTGGTGGTCAGTGCAGCTCTGAACAGTCCCCTCAGCCCCTCCCTGCAGCTCACACCAGTCCTACCTAACTCCACTTCAAGATGGAGAGATCATAAGGTGGTCACTTGCCTCTAGCAAGTCCTGACTTTCTGGAGCCTCATCTCACCTCAGGATGCGGGCATGGCAGGACAGCTGCAGAGAAAAGCCCCATTCTGCCTGAAGGACTCACCGCAGAAGAAAAGTCTCTCACAGCACATTGTCAGTAACTGTTCTCCATCATGACCACTTCTAGCCCTGGTTTGCAATTTGTGACCAACTAGGTATGATCTGAAATGCCTACATTATCTATGAGGAAAAAAATAAAGCAATATGTGAAACTCAGTTTATCTTGAATCTCTTGTGAATGTTAATTTTCCACTAGTTTATCTTACTTAGTACCTGTTTTTATTAGTTATATGTAAAGTATTAAATGCTTGGAAGATAATAAGGTACTTTATTTTTATTTGGAAGGCAGAGAGACAGAACGATATGATCTTCCACCCACTGGTTTACTTCCCAAATGCCCACAACAAGCAGGACTGAGCCAGACCAAAGCTAGGAGTGCAGAACTCAAATCTGGTCTCCCATGTGGGTGGCAGGGACCCAACCACTTGAACCATCACAGCTGCCTCATTAGCAGGAAGCTGGAACAAGAGGTAGAGCCAAAACTCAAGCCCAAGCACTGTGATATGGGATGTGGGCATCCCAAGCAGTGTCTTACTGACCGCACCAACCAAATGCCCACCCCCCGACCCCTGCAAAGTACTTTCAAGGATTCAACAATTAGGACTTTTCACTTCCCCTTTTCCAAGCTTTCCTGTATGTTTTTTCCCAAAGTACTGGAAATTTGGCAGATTACTTCAAAGCTCACAGCCAGGAGAGAGGTGGTTGTGATAGTCCAGAAAGCATCCTCTTTTAGCACAGTTGATATTTTCTTCTTTCAGGCCCACCTCAGGCACAGACCCCTTTGCTTCTGGGGCAAACTCCCACGTGGAGTGAGGTTCAGAAGAGACTTGAAGAGCCTGCCATGGCACTTAGGCACCTAACCTGCATCCCAGACCAAAGTCTCTCTTATTCCTTGTCCACAATGGAAGGAAATGCTGTCTTCATTTTAACGAAATTTATGTGTGTCTATTTGTTTTTATTTCTTTTGGCATGTGCCCTGGCAGAAGGTGGCTTCTGAAATAAAGGCCTGTGAGGTGCTGTGATCCCCAGAAACCCCTGCCAGAGCATTGCTCTCTGGGGCATTTGGGACCAGCCATTGACCTGGAGTGTCTGGGTCGCACATTCCTTCTGGAGCAACCAGGAGGTTCCTGCCGCTGCTTGCCAACACATTTGTAAAACCATTCTCTTTGAGGAGCCGACTCCATGGTGCGGTAGGTTAATGCTCCGCCTGCAGTGCCAGCATCCCATATGGGCACCAGTTCTAGTCCCAGCGCTCCTCTTCCAATCCAGCTCTCTGCTATGGCCCAAGTCCTTGGGACCCTGCACCCACATGGGAGACCCAGAAGAAGCTCCTGGCTCCTGGCTTCGGATCAGCACAGCTCTGGCCGTTGCGGCCATCTGGGAAGTGAACCAACAGAAGGAAGACCTGTCTCTCTGACTCTCCCTCTCACTGTCTGTAACTCTACCTGTCAAATAAATAATAAAATCTTTTTTAAAAAAATCATTCTCTTTGAATAAAATGTCTGGAATTCAATAGACTGCACCCCCCCCCCAAAAAAAAAGTAGAGTGCTGTCACCAATGAAACAAGAATGGCAACATGATCAGTGAGTTGTGATGCTGTTCTTCCTAGTTTTTCCCCCTAAGTTTTACTTTATTTATTGAAGAGAGAGGGATGGAGGACTCCCATCTGCTCATTCTCTCCCAAATGCCTGCAACAGCTGAGCAGCAGGAGCTGGGAGCCAGCTCAACACGGTCTACCACATGGGTGGCATAAACCCAGTTGTCTGAGGCCTGCTGCCTCCCCAGGTCTGCATTAGCAGGAAGCTGGAGTCAGCAGCCAGAGCCAAGCATTAGACTGATGTGGACACAGCATCTTAACCAGTGTCTTAACTGCTAGGCCGAATGTCCACTCCCTTCCTAAACTTTACTTTTCAAAATGTCCATTAAAAAGTACCCTCCTTTCTCACAGTGAGAATAAAGACCCTCTCTCTCCCTGCTTGTCTCCTGCTCAGATTAAACCTGCATTCCCCCTCTCCCTTCACCCCTGCAGGGCAGAGCACCCCTGCCCCTCCAGAGGCACCAGAGGAGGACTTCCCACGCTGGCTGCTCCTGCCCTGCACCGAGGGGAGTCACAGCCCCAGAGCTCACCTCTGCAGGTTTGCTACTTTCAAAGCTTTTTTTAATTTGACCCCAATTATATCCCAACAATGGGTATCCCATCTTTGTGGGGAGTATTTGTATGGATTTCTATCCACTAACACGGAAATGACTGCGGACCATTGGTTTGCCTCCCCCACCCCATCTGTCGGGGGGCAGGTGGCTGAACCAGGCACTTTTTCTGAACTCCGGTGCCCACAGAACTGGGCCGGGGCACAGTCTGGCCTTGTGGGAAGCAGTCAGTGGGGAGGCGGGCAGGTGGGGAGGGCGTGCCAGTGTCCCTTCCCGGCTGACGAGCTGCCCTTCTCCCAGACAGCTGCCAGGAGCACCCTGTCGGATCTGAGGGTTCCACTGGAGGTAAGCAGGGTGCTCTCCATAAAGGGGTTCATCTGCTACTCCTGGTTCTCCGATCCCTGGACCTGGGCAGAATGATAGCCAACGACTCGGCCTCCCAGAGGCTCCTGGAGCCTGCCCCTCCCCTTCCCTTCCCAGCCTTCCTGACGGTGGGGACGTGCTTCTCGGGCGCTGCCAGCAGCTTGTGACCGCGTTTGCTGTGAACTGACCTGTGCACGCTCCTCTCCCCACCTCCTGGGTCCTGAGCTGCCCTCTCCTATCTGGGGCTGGGTACTTCCTTGCAAAGCCAAGGAACAATGTTTTGGGGTTCCTCAAAGACTTGCCCGGCACAGGCCTCGGCTCGCTGTGCACCAGGTTTGCGGCTTCTGCCCAGGCTGCTGCCAGACCCCGGCCCATGCGCGTCCTCAGAGTGCCGCTTTGTCCTGTGCAGGCCTAGCTGGGCTCCCCCGGCACAGGACGGTGTGGGGGGAGCTAAGCCCCGGGATTTTTCATTGCCTGTGCTCTACTAGCGCATCTCCGGGCGGGGACCCCCAGTCTGTGGCCAGAGAGCAGGCCGGACACCCCGTCTGCCCCACTCATCCCCACTCTGTCCCTGCGCTCAGGCCTCCCGCCTCCTGTGCAGAGCGCAAGCCCTGCTCCGCATCGTCTCCTGCTGCTGTGCCTCCCGCCCTCACAGGTGCCACGTGGACACCCCCTTCACACGGGTGGAACTCGGCGGCTTTGCATCCTCTCGGAGACGGACCACGCGGGGAAGTTACAGGAACACGGAGCCAGCGTTCCCCTGGGTGGGGCTGCTGGCGCTTTCGCTGGGGTTCACTGTGACCTCCCCACGGGGCTCCAGGTCCGGGGTGAGCCTGGCCGCAACCACCCCTCCCCCCCGCAGCGCCCCCTGTCCAGGCCTTAGGGACCCTAAACCTCCCTGGCGCCGCGAGGGCGCGCCTCCCCGCGGGCCCGGCTCGCCATGTTCCCGGCGGCAGGGGTGGCGGCGAGGCCCTACGCTTGCAGCGAGTGCGGCAAGAGCTTCGGCTACAGCTCGGTGCTGCTGCGGCACGAGCGCGCCCACGGCGGCGAGCGCCGCTTCCGCTGCCTGGAGTGCGGCGAGCACTGCGCGCGGGCCACCGACCTCCGCACGCACCGGCGCGCGCACGCCGGCCAGACCCTATACATCTGCAGTGAGTGCGGCCAGAGCTTCCGCCGCAGCGGCCACCTCGACCTGCACCTGAGCGCGCACCGGCGGCGCGGCCGCATCTGCCCCTGCCGCCTCTGCGGCCGCCGCTTCCCCCACCTGCCGGCGCTGCTTCTGCACCGGCGCCGCCACCACCCCCCCGAGCGGCCGCGCCGCTGCCCGCAGTGTGCCCGGGCCTTCCGCGACAGCACACTGCGTTTCCATCAGGCTCGGGCGCACCCCGCAGGACCCACCGTCTCCCCAGCCACCAGCGCGCTCCGCCCCCACGAGGCGCCATCGCCGCGGGCCGTCCAGGCCAGTGCGCAGCTACGGCGGCGAGCGCGCATCCCAGCGGCCCGGGGAGCCCGAGACAGTGCACCCGCGTCCCCGCACCCCGCGGAGGCGCACCAGTGCGGCGTGTGCGGCAAGAGCTTCGCCAAGGGCGCCACGCTCGTGCGACACCTGCACACGCACTCGGGCGAGAAGCCCTTCACCTGCCCCGAGTGCGGCAAGCGCTTCTTGGAGAGCGCCACGCTGGTGCGTCACCGGCGCACGCACACGGGCGAGAAGCCGTACGCGTGCGGCGACTGCGGGCGCTGCTTCAGCGAGAGCTCCACGCTGCTGCGTCACCGGCGCAGCCACCGAGGCGAGCGGCCGCACTCATGTGCCACCTGCGGCAAAGGCTTTGGGCAGCGGTACGACCTGGTGGTGCACCAGCGCATCCACACGGGCGAGAAGCCCTTCTCGTGCCCCGAGTGCGGCCGAGGCTTCAGCGACCGCTCGGACCTCACCAAGCATCGGCGCACGCACACGGGGGAGAAGCCCTACGGCTGCGAGCTGTGCGGCAAGCGATTCACATGCGTGTCCAACCTCAACGTGCACCTGCGCAACCACGCGGGCCACAAGCCACACAAGTGCCCCGAGTGCGGCAAAGCCTTCAGCGTGGCCTCCAAGCTGGCCTTGCACCGCAAGACGCACCTGGGCGAGCGGCCGGCAGAGTGTGCCCAGTGTGGCAAATGCTTCAGCCACAGCAGGTCGCTGTCGCAGCACCTACGGGCCCACACGCGTGCCCGCACCTCTGCCGCCGCCGCCACTGCCACCACCACCCAGGCTGCAGTCGGCACCGCCCTCACCTTTGCGGGGCCAGCCCCACAGGAAAAGCCAGCGCTCTTTGCGTCCCCATGGAGGGGGACTTGCTGAGGCCACAGGAAGGCCAGGACAACTGCAGGCAGCTGCAGGCTTGGGAAAGGACTCCACGGGTGGCCCTTCCCTGGGCTCTCCTGCCTCTGCACCTCCCTCCCCGGTAGTTCTGCGCCCACCCGGTCCTTACGTTCTTGGCTTCTCTAGGGGTGTGGGTGCAGGGAGTCAGGGTCTGAGTACCTCCCCTGCTGCCACCCTGCACTGTTTGCTTCCGGCTTTCCTGCCTGCCTTCTATCTCCCCAGGCCTCTCCTAATTTCAGCCTGTCTCCACCTCCCCTTCCCCGTCGTGTGCTGTGCCCACCTCCTCAGGTGTCCAGCAGATGTGGCCGCAGTCCGTCTCACCAGCCTCTTGATCTCACCTGGTCATCCTGCTTCCTCCCCAGCACCTGGGAAGCAGCCGGCAGACCCAGGGGCTCTGGGCTCAGCCTCCTGCAGTCGGCAGGGAGCTATCTGCTCCGTGACCCCAGCCGGACCGTGTGGGCCGTTGTCAATGAGTGGCAGAGGCTTCCAAGCCAGAGGGGAGGGGCGGGAGGGAAGAGGCCTGCAGGTGTCCAGTGACTGTCGGCGTACGGCTGGTGAAATAAAGACTTGTTTGGGTTTGAGATTCCGAGAGCCCCTCTGAACCCTCAGGCAGCCGTCTCCACAGACGCCAGGTTCTCTGGCAGTTCAAGGTCTTGTCCCTTCCCACCGCAGCACAGCCTCCTGGACGCAGGACTCCTTGCTTCTGTGCCGTGAGGAGCCGACAGCCAGTACAATGCGGCCCCAGATCGCGTGCCTCCTCCTGCTTGGCGTCCCCCTGGGCAACCGGTACCCTCCTCACGGTCACATTGGAAGTGCCAGCGTGCATCGGAAACCTGCCCTCGGGGCAGGGCAAACGTGGAAAAGGGCCCAACCTCAGGTGCCAACACAACCCGCTCGGCCACACGTGCCCAGGAACAACGCGGTTTATTCCGTCCTTGTCCAAGACCAAGGTCGCCCAGCTGCCCTGCGCTCCGGGCCGCTGTGGTCCCAGGGCCCAGGCCCCTGGCATTCTCTTCTGGTCCCTCTCCTCCTGGATCCTTTTCCAACCTGGGGTCTGGCTCCCCAGCTGAGGGGACAGCTCATTGCTGGGGGAGCAGGGTTGGAGCCTGAGGGGGCCTGGGCCCTCGGGTGGCACCCAGGGGCTCGGGGGCAGAGTGGCTGGGGCAGGGCTCCTCGGGCCCAGATGACTCTGGTGGGGCCAGGAGCAGGGCCGGGTGACTCTTGCTGCGGTGTGCTGCGACACTGTCCGGCTTCTCAAAGCGCTTGCCACAGAACTCACAGGGGAAGCGCAAGGCGGCCGCTGTCTCCGCGTGCTTGCGCCGGTGCCAGTTGAGGGAGGCCTTTTGGCGGCAGGTGAACCCGCAGATCTCACACCTGGAGCCAAGGACAGGAAGGGAAGGAGGCGGCCTCGTCCCGTCAGGACTTCCAGGGCTCTTCCTGCTTCCTGTGCCCGGCTGCCAGGCCCGCCCCCGCCCGTGGCCCTGGCCCTCACTCACTGCAGGGGCTTCTCTCCCGTGTGGATGCGTCTGTGGATGACCAGGTTGCTGCTGGTTCGGAAAGACCGGGCACAGAACTCACAGATGTAGTCCCGGGTGTCTGTGGGTGCACAGGAGAAACAGTATGCTCTAGCCCCAGGCCGTGGCCCCTCTGCAGCTCACCCACCCCTCCTGAGGGTCAGGAGGCCTGGGTGGTAACTGCTTGTGTTCCGTATCGTGGAATTAGTCTGGGCCTTGACCTGACGGGTCACAACAGCCGGTTGAGATATGAACACAGAAAATGTGACACCACCAAGGAGCCTTCCTTACAGTCACCCAGTTCCACCAGAACCACTGAGCTCCCAGGGGAGGCTCCCTGCCTCGCAGCTGGGCCTCTAAGCTGGTCTTTGCGAAAGAGAGGCATGGAAAGGAGACCTGGGTCCTTGTGTGTGGACAAAGTAACAGGTAGCAGCTACACGGAAGCCTGGAGCTCGGGAGGGGAATTCGGATTGAAGGCCGAGCCCTGCAGACACGCCCCAGCGCCTGGTATCCTCTCCCTGCTCTGGCTGTTGGCTGAAAGCAGCCAATGCCACCCCCACCTTAACGTGTCCTCCCTGAACAGTCCAGTGGCGCCTGGAGTGTGTCACCTGTGCTGCACCCCAGATCTCTCCCTACACCAAGTGCAGGGGTGCCACACTCACCCCTCTTCTCTGCCCCCACACCCACTCGCCCCTCCCTGGGACAGGGTGCTGCAGCCACACAGCACCAAGTACCTGCTGCACACCTCCCCTAACTCCAGGTTCACGTCTCCTGAGATGCCTGATGAGCACGTCCCCTAGCCCGCCACTCACAGGTGCTCACAAAACCGCAGCCTCTTCCGCCCGGCTGCTGCAGCTGGAACCCTCCGCGGCGCCAGCTGCCCCTGCCCGCCCCCGCTGTGGCCATCTGCCCTCGCCAGGCAGCCACTCTCCCCAGCTTGGCTGCAACCTGCAAGTGCAGCCCAGCCCACCTCTGCAGTGGCCGCTGCAGCCCCCTGCTCCCACAGCGGTCTCTGTGTTTCTGGGCCAGCCCTGTCCCTGTGCGGCTCCAGACCCAGGACGGTGTCTCCTCACCTGAAGTGAGAGCCAGGCAGAGTGCCCTCCTCCTTCCTCTGTACCCTCCTGGCCTCCCCAATCCTGCACAGGCCAGGCTGGGGCACCTTAGGGTCAGCAGATGGAGCCCAGGCCCCCGATCCTGCACAGGCCAGGCTGGGGCACCTCAGGGTCGGCAGGCGGAGCCCAGGACCCCGATCCTGCACAGGCCAGGCTGGGACACCTCAGGGTCAGCAAACGGAGCCCAGGCCCCCGATCCTGCACAGGCCAGGCTGGGGCACCTCAGGGTCGGCAGGCGGAGCCCAGGCCCCCGATCCTGCACAGGCCAGGCTGGGACACCTCAGGGTCAGCAAACGGAGCCCAGGCCCCCGATCCTGCACAGGCCAGGCTGGGACACCTCAGGGTCAGCAAACGGAGCCCAGGCCCCCGATCCTGCACAGGCCAGGCTGGGGCACCTCAGTGTCGGCAGGCGGAGCCCAGGCCCCCGATCCTGCACAGGCCAGGCTGGGGCACCTCAGGGTCGGCAGGCGGAGCCCAGGACCCCGATCCTGCACAGGCCAGGCTGGGGCACCTCAGGGTCGGCAGGCGGAGCCCAGGACCCCGATCCTGCACAGGCCAGGCTGGGGCACCTCAGTGTCGGCAGGCGGAGCCCAGGCCCCCGATCCTGCACAGGCCAGGCTGGGGCACCTCAGGGTCGGCAGGCGGAGCCCAGGACCCCGATCCTGCACAGGCCAGGCTGGGACACCTCAGTGTCGGCAGACAGAGCCCAGGACCCCGATCCTGCACAGGCCAGGCTGGGACACCTCAGTGTCGGCAGACGGAGCCCAGGCCCCCGATCCTGCACAGGCCAGGCTGGGGCACCTTAGGGTCGGCAGGCGGAGCCCAGGCCCCCGATCCTGCACAGGCCAGGCTGGGGCACCTCAGGGTCAGCAAACAGAGCCCAGGCCCCCGATCCTGCACAGGCCAGGCTGGGACACCTCAGTGTCGGCAGACGGAGCCCAGGCCCCCGATCCTGCACAGGCCAGGCTGGGGCACCTCAGGGTCAGCAGGCGGAGCCCAGGCCCCAGGCCCACTGCACTTAGGGCTCTGCTCACAGCGTCCTCCGCGTCCCCTTCCCCAGCCCCGGGAGGCGTCCCCGAGGCTCAGCCGCAGGTGCCGGGCGCACTCACCGCTGTGCAGCTTCACGTGCTCCTTGAGGTGCTTCTTGAAGTTGAAGGACTTCCCGCAGGCCGGCTCCGGGCACGAGAAGGACTTCTGCTGGATGTGCTGGTATTTCTTGTGGTGCTGAGGCAGAGGCGGGCGGTGGGCAGTGGGAAGCAAAATGATGACGGCCTTCCCGGGGAGACGACCACCTGACCCCACAGGCAGGCTTCGGTCCCCCGTCCTACCTGGCCGCACCGACAGAGCCAACAGCCCCGCGTGCCTCCCCCCACCGTCACCCCTGCCCTCACATGGTTCTGCTCTTGCCTGGCCCCCGCCTCACTCTGCGTGCTCTGCAGTGCTCACTCCACAGTGCTCGGGGACACTCCCAGTGCCCCAAGTGTGGCCTCCCGTGTGAGGGGGACGGGGCAGGTGGGTGCGGCTGCTATCTCTCACAGCAGCAGCCCTGTGCAACGACAGCGCCCAGCCTTCCTCCGCAGCTGCGCTGTCAGTCCTGCAGACACGCTCCCAGCCTGGAGACTTCTAGGGGGAACGGCTTCTTCAGCCTTAATAACCCGGCACATCTGACCTGACTGCACCTGGCCCCATGCACAGCCCCGCCTCCCCTGGTCAGCCTGCAGGAGAGCTCCAGCGCCCCTGTGACGGCACAAGATGCCCCCGCAAGGCTCCGCCCTTCCTCAGGCTTCGCTGTCACTAGGGGCTCCTCCCACTGCAGCTCTGGCCGCGGCTCTGTCCCACGACCTGCACGGCTGGGGTCTACCTCACTGTGGGGCTCTGGCCGGCCCGGCGTGTGCCCCTGCCCAGCGGGAAGTGGCGTGCACCGCCACATGGGCTGAGGAGCCTCCAGGGAGCCTCAGGGCCACATCTGGGGGCGGGAACAGCGTCAGCACCTGTCCCCTAGGGGTGCTGTGAGGACCCCAACTACACACGCCGCCTGCCTAACCCCCCAGCAGCCCAGCTCTGTGCCAGGGCTCTGTGAAACAGGCAGTGGTGGGGGTGGGCCGTGCCTGGGGGACTGACTTTGCGGCCTCGGGCACCAGCCGTCAGTCTACGGAATATCAACCGTGGGCGAGCTCTGCAAGTGCCCGCTTCCCCACTGCTGTCCTCAGCTTCGCCGGCAGCCCGTCCCCAGCCCTGCGGCCACCAGGCCCTGCCTTGCCCTCACATTCAGATACTGCCGGTTGGAGAAGATCTTTCCACAGCCAGGGAAGTCACAAGGCATCAGCTCCCTCCTGGCGGCTTTCCTGGGGACAGACAGGAGGCAGCACTCCCGCCTGCTGTCCCCAGCCCCCGCCCGGCCCCTGGGTCCCGTCTCCCCACATCCTACCTGGGGACAGACAGGAGGCAGCACTCCCGCCTGCTGTCCCCAGCCCCCACCCGGCCCCTGGGTCCCGTCTCCCCACAGCCTACCTGGGGACAGACAGGAGGCAGCACTCCCGCCTGCTGTCCCCAGCCCCCGCCCGGCCCCTGGGTCCCGTCTCCCCACATCCTACCTGGGGACAGACAGGAGGCAGCACTCCCGCCTGCTGTCCCCAGCCCCCACCCGGCCCCTGGGTCCCGTCTCCCCACAGCCTACCTGATTCTCTTGGGACCGATCTGTGCAGTGTCCTCATCCCAGGCTGGGCTCTGAGCAGACGGGGCCTGGCTTCCAGGGCTACAAGCAGCAAAGAGGGAGCAGAGGGCCTCGAGGGGGGCCGCGTCCCAGGACACCCCTGCCCTCTGTCTCAGCATCAGGTTACCTGGCCAGGGGCTCGCTCTGCTGGGCTGCTCGAGGGGCCCCATCGTGCTCCAGCTGCACCCTGAGTTCTGACAGCACAGCAGCGCCGGAGCCCAGCGGGGATGCTGGTGAAGAGAGTGTAGCAGGAGCAGGGGGTGCTGCAGGGGCTGAGGGGGCCTCCTCCTCCCCCAGCGTGAGGGTGGCAGGGGAGGGGCGTGGTCTGGGGGCATCTGGGTCGCTGCTGAAGGGAGAAGCGAGAGGAAGAGGACATCAGCTGTCGGGACACTCAGCCAGCCCCAGCCCGACCTTAACCCCTGAGCTGAAGATCCCCAGCTTGGGACAACCCTGGCCAGCACCAGGCTGCGGTCCACACCCGCTGTCGGCCCTCAGAGCCCACCCTCCGGTTCCGCGTGCAGGGCTCTGAACTGCGGGCCCCTCCCGGCTCTGCTCAGCACCCCTGGGGCCCAACTTGCTCATCTGTGGAGCTGTAGGTCCAGGGGCTGGCGTCACTCAGCATCTCCTCTTCCTCCTCGCCGTCCTCTTCCTCCTCGCCCTCCTGCTCTCCCTGCCTGCTGGCGCAAAGACGCTGAGCCTGAGGCCCTGCCCCCCCCCGCAGGGCAGGTGCAGCTCATCCTGCCCCGGGCTCCCCAGGCTCCCCGTACCTGGGCAGCCCCGCCTCTTGAGTGTGCTCTTCATGCTCGGGTTCCCAATCTGTGGACACAGGCAGCGTCAGAGGGGAAGGCACTGCGTCCGGTGCAGTTGTAAGGGCCGAGGTGGGGGGGGCTTGACAAGGAGTGAGGGGCCTCCGACCTCTTGGGAAGGTCCCAGCCACCGAGGTCTCCCCACAGGGCACCGGGTGCCCTCGGTGCCCTCCACGGAGGCACAGCACACGCTACCCTCCTGGGCAGGGCCTGAGAGCACACCACTTCCCTCGCACCGAGCTTCCCTGGGCGAGGACCCCTTGTCAGCACAGGGTCCCAGCCTACCTGCAGGCTGCCGCCTGCCGCTGGCCGCAGGGCAACAGCTGCTCCGGGCAGTGCGTGCGAGGGGCACGGGCTTGGGCTCCTCTGGAGGTGAAGGGCCCGAAGAGGGTCCCCAGGAGAAGGTGTGGCCTGCCGAGCACTCCCACACAAGCCCCCCGTCGGCACCCCCGGGCCCCCGAAGGCCAGGCACCAGGCTGCACTCGCGGCTGTGGGCGTGCGACAAGAGCACCAGATACTGCAGACCCTTGGGGGGCACCGGCTCAGGACCTGGAGGGGTGGGGGAAGCCATCAGGCCCAGCCAGGGCTCCTGCTTCTGCCCTGAGGGCCACACCCACACAACCCTGGGACCTGGAGGGGTGGGGGAAGCCATCAGGCCCGGCCAGGGCTCCTGCTTCTGCCCTGAGGGCCACACCCACACAACCCTGGGGCCGCAAACTCCTGGGCCGCCTGGTGCTGCTCCTGTGCACCCAGCAGGCCCCTGTCCGGGCTGCCCCCATCAGACCACTGTGCCCCGCTTCCCAAACCCACTCAGGCGCCCCGGCCCCTACCTGCACAGAGGATGCAGCCTGAGGAGGTGTACCTGCCAGAGAGAGGGGGCGGGCGGGTCAGGCCCGCGTGCCCCGCCCCCAGCCCCCGGACCGCGCAGGGAGCAGGGCCTGGAGAGCCACCGGGCCCTGGGCAGGGAGGAGGGGGATCCTCACCGGTCCAGCAGGAACTTGGCGAGCTGCGAGTGCAGCGCGAAGCCCAGCCGCTCCTTGAGCAGGCACCACCGCTCCATGTGGCCGCCCAGCCGGATGCGGCACTTGCTGCGGCGCGCGTCCAGCTGCCGCCGCTGCTCCCGCCGCCTGCGGGTGGCGTCTGCCCCCGAGGGGGACGCCATGGGCGCCAGGACCTGCGGGGCGGGGGCCCGGCCGCTGGGAGGCCACTAGTTGTCCTGACGTCGGGGGACGGCCAGCCTGGCGCGAGATCACGGTCAGGACACCGACCCGCGGACCCAACAGGAGTCACGCACCAGAGCGTGAAGCTCTCCCGGGGGAGCGCCAGCTGGGGTGGGGGGCACAGACGCTGCGCCCTGGAGAAGCACGGGGCCTTCACTGGTTCTGGGGGGGCAGTGGTCGTGGCCTGGTTTGCACCTGGGGGGTGCTCTTCCCGGTCAGGGCCGGGGGCGTGGGCCTGAGCGGAGGCCACCCCGGGCCGCCCCCGTGAGGCTCGCCGAGCGCGGGGACACACCTGTCCCGCAGACCCCCACCCCGCCAAGGCCTTACCTGCGCGCCCCACCCGCCCTCTCCCCACTGCGCCTGCGCCCCGCGGCCTCGCGCGCAGGCCCGGAGAGCCGCGGAGGGCCGGGGCCCACCTCGCGCGCGCGGCGCCGTTTCTCCTTTAAGAGGAAACGGTCCCCTCGGCACGGGCGGCTCCAGCGGAACCGCGTCCCCGAGCGGGGCGGGCCGGACGGGGCCGCGCGTGCGCGCCTGCGCGCGGCCAGCCCGCGCAGCGCCTGCCGGGAGAGCGGTGCGCGCGCGTGGGTCGCGCTCGCGGTGGGCGCTGTCCGTGGCGAACGCCCGCGACTAAAGGCGTGGGAGAGCGGGCTGCGCGCCTGGGGTCGAGGCCTCCCGCCGTGTGCGGAGCCCAGCCCCTCCGCCCACGGGCCGTGCCTTCCGTGGGGTCCCCCGCCGTTGCCGCCAGCACGGAGCGCGCCCCGCGCCGCCGGCCGCCGCCACGCGTGGGCCGCGAGGCCGCGTTGCCGCCGTGTGCGCCTCCTGTGTGGTGCGAACTGGGCCCGCGTGGCGCCCCGGCCGTGTTGGCGCGGCTGAGGGAACGGACAGCCCGACGAGGCTGCCCAACGCGGCCCACGCCGGCCCCGCGCGCCCCAGGGCGCCTGCCTCTGCCGTGGCCAGGCCGCGCACTGGGCGCGTGCCCTGAGTGCTGCTTCCACTGTCTCCCACCCAGGGGCGGCCATTCCTGGGCGCAGCGACCTCTGTCTCACCAGCACACCCACGTGTTCCATCGTCCGTTTTCTCTTGATTTCTGGGGTTCTTAACCAGGATTCTGGAATCCAGGGGCCCATGAATTTGGACAGGAAATAATTTGTCTTTTTCTAAACTAACTTCTGGCTGCAATTGAGCATTTCCTTCTATTAAGCAACACACCTCAGTAGTAGCAGGACTTAATGTGATGAATAAAAACCACACATATTTTCCTACCACACTACACTTTTGTAAAAGATCTATTTGGAAGAGCAACAGAGAGGGATATCCTCCATCTATTGGTTCACTCCCCAAATGGCCACAGTGGCCAGGACTGAAGCCAGAAGCCTGGAACTCCAGCCTGGTCTCCCATGTGGGTGGCAGGGGCCCAAGCACTTGGGCCATCCTCCACTGCTTTTCCAGGTGCACCAGCAGGATCAGAAGCAGAGAAGATGGGACTCAAACCAGCACTCCATTGTGGGATGCCGGCATGGCAAGTGGTAGCATTAACCACCACACCACAACTCCAGCCCCACACGTGACGGCGGTTGCAGATATTTCCCAACGTCATTTAAATTCTTCCCTAATTCAAATGAATGCTACTTTACTTTGTTATATAGTGACTTTAAAAATAGTACACATTACTATGTTACAAATTTAATATTTTTAATATTTTATGGAAGAAGGCCAGCCCTCTGCTGTGGCCAGGGAGTGCAGTGGAGGATGGCCCAAGTGCTTGGGCCCTGCACCCCATGGGACACCAGGAAAAGCACCTGGCTCCTGGCTCGTGCCATCGGATCAGCGCGGTGCGCCGGCCGCAGCGCGCCGGCCGCGGCGGCCATTGGAGGGTGAACCAACGGCAAAGGAAGACCTTTCTCTCTGTCTCTCTCTCTCAGTGTCCACTCTGCCTGTCAAAATAAATAAATAAATTAATTAAAAAAATATTTTATGGAAGAATTTTGATATAATTAGCTCCCTTTGTAATCCTGTATATTTTGTCTCACACATTTAAAAACATTACAATGGCACTTTTCCTCAGCATGATAAAAGGCATATATGAAAAGCCCAGAGCTAACACCAAATTCCATAGAGAAAACTGAACATTTTCCAAGTAATATCAGGAACAAGAATGCCTACTTTCACAAATTCTATGCAACATTCTATGAGAAATTCTAACTAAATTAGATTGGTAAGAAAAAAAGAAGTAATTGAACAGGTAAACTATTCGTAGATGACATGATCCTACATATTTTTTAAATGCCAAAGAACACATACATACACCAACCCTGCAAGAGCTAATAAATTAAACAAAAATGCAGAGTACAATACACAACCTTAAATTGTGTTTCTATATAGCAGCAATGAACAAGAGAAATAATTTCATTTGCAATAGCACCCCAATGAAAAATATGTAGGCATAAATTTAATCAAGTAAATGAAAAACGTGTACATTGAAATCTATAAAGCATGGCTAAAAGAAAAAGATTACCTAAATAAATGAAAAGTTAGCCTATGTTCACGGACTGGAAGAAAATATTAAAGAGTCAATACTACTCACTGTAATGTATAGAGTCAATGCAATCTTTATCAGACTTCCAATGTCTGATTTTGTTTTGCTTGTGGAAATGTATAAGCCAATCTTCTACTTCATATGGGACTGCAAACACTTGAAGGGAACAAACCTAGTTGGAAGACACATTTCCCAATTTCACAACTTGCTACAAAGCCACAACAAAAGTCATCAAAACAGGTTAGTAATGCCATAAAATAGACATGTGGGTCATGGAATAGAATTGATAGTCTGGGGAAAAAAACTTATAAATCTATGGTCAATTGATTTTGGGAAAAAGTCTTCAACAAATGGTGCTAGCATGACTAGATACTCACATACAAAAATAATGAAGTTTGACTTCTACCTCACACCATAAACACTAAAAAATGGATTAAAGGCCTAAATATAAAAAAAAAAACATAAAACTGGAAGAAAGCATAAGGATAGATCTTCCTTTTTATTTGACAATGGATTCTTAGATAGGCTATCAAAAGCATGAATAAAAGAAAAAACAGAAAAACTGTCCTTATTCAAAGTTTAAAACTTTTGTGTACTAAAGACATTATGAAGAAAGTGAAATAGATGGTCTACAGAATGGGATGGAATATTTTCGAGACACCTCAACTGAAAAATGGGCAAAGGAATTGAATAGGTATTTCTCCAGAGAAGACCTAAGAACTAACAAGCACATGAAAATGTACCCAACATTATCAGTCATTAGGAAAATGCAAATCAGAACCACAATGATATCACTAGGGTGGCTATGAAAAAGGGGAAATACGTGTGGAGAAATTAGAACCTCCTACATTGCTCATGGAAGCATAAAATGCCTTAGCCACTCTGAAAAATATCTTGCCGGTTCTTCATGACTCAGCAGTGCTACCCGGATTTATATTCCCCCAAAGAACTGGAACCCCGTTCAGACGTGCACATGCGCAGTCATGTTCAAGCCAAAGCTACCCCAGAGTGGCTGAAGAGGAAGCACGGTGTGTCCGCGCTTGGAGTGGCGAGGAAAGAAGTCCCGATGCACGCCACGCGTGGAAATCACAGTATGGCCAAGGCAAATGCAGCCACGTGGAATACGTTTTTCTTTCCTTACCATATTCTCACAACAAGCAAACTTCCCAGCTTCCGGCTGGCTAGAGTGTCTGTTCTAAAGATGCCTAACGCTTGCTGGTGACTTCCAGAGTCTGGCCTGAGAAAGCAGCTGCCGTTGCGCGCTATGCGGCCTGCCAGGTCAGCGCGACCAGAGGTTTGAATGTATCCTAACAGAATTCAAAGGGGGTACAGCAACTAAGGGCAGGATGAGCATGGCCTCCAGGCTGCTGGGCTTCATCCTGACTAACGAAGCACTGGGCTCTCTCAACCCGGTGCTTGGCCTCTTCCAGATCTCAGCAAGTAACGCTTTGTAGCCCTTCGCTGCGCAGACTTCAGCTCCTTCCTCCTCGCGGTCACGGCCATCTATCCAGCAAGGTTCCCGGGGACGTCTGCACAGGTCTGGGCTGACCACACCCTGCCTCCGGTCTGTCCACTCAGCGGAGCCCCCATCTCCTCTGGGGTCTGACCAGCTCCTCTTCCCACACCCGTGACGCCTACAAGGCCTGCCCTTCCCTGGACTCCACCCGTCATTCCCCACCCTCTCACCCCTGCCCTGCAGCGTAGGGGTGAGCAGACCCCTCCCCGGGCAGTCTGCAACGCTGAGGTTGACGCTGTAGACATGTTTGCCCGAGTCGTGTGCGAGTGTGAGAGGGACACAGCTCCTGCCCGCTAGTGCATCCCCGTGGGCCCAGGACCGCCGTCCGGGCCTCCCACTGGGTGGCCCAGGCCCAGCGCCGGAGCCGCCACCTCAGCGGGGAGCGGGCTCCGGGCAGAGCAGCCGCCGCACTCGAACCCGGGCCCCGGGTGAGGCCCGCGTCCTCACCACGCATTTTGGTTCTCGGAAAGCTGTGTTAGCCCCAGCGCCCTCCGTGGGCGGCCGGCGGGCACCAGGGACGCCGCGTCGCACGGCCGGCCGGGGTTTCTGTGCCGTCCGCCTCCGTCAGCGGCCCCCGGGACGTCCGCACGGCGCCGACTCTCGTCTCGCGCCCGGCCCGGCCCGCGGCGCCCGCGCCTCAGCCCCGCTCCGGGCCCGCCCCGCCGGCGCCTGCGCAGTGGGGCGGCGGGCGGCCGGGCGGCGCAGGCAGCAGGCGCGGCGGGAGCGGCCCGGCTGCCGGGTGTCAGGATGGCCGAGTGGTCTAAGGCGCCAGACTCAAGGTGCGCACCTTGCCTGCGGGCGTTCTGGTCTCCGAATGGAGGCGTGGGTTCGAATCCCACTTCTGACACAACCTTTTCCTTCCCTTTTCTCGCAGACCTCGGCCCTTCCGCCGGCCGCGGGCGCTCTCTTTTGTGCGGGACCTCGGCCGCGCCGGGGGTCAGTCCTGTTCGTGCCCGCGGCGAGCGGGAGGCGCGGGGGCGGGCCGAGCCTGCGGCCCAGTCGTCACGCGCCCTCACTTAGTCTGTCACGTCAGGGCATCTGCTCTTGTCGCCTCCCTGGTGGTCTAGTGGTTAGGATTCGGCGCTCTCACCGCCGCGGCCCGGGTTCGATTCCCGGTCAGGGAAGCTTAATTTTTTTTCATTTATTATTATTAAAAAACAAGACACAGTGGCAGAGAGCCTAGGACGTTCTCTCGGGGCAGGGCAGCCATCAGCAGAGATTCCTACCGTGCGTGAACCTAAAGGAACCTCACAGGCCCCGCAAAACCTGGCCGTGGCTGCCGGAGGCGCCTGGTCCCGTAGCCGGGCGTGGACTCGGCGCCCGCTCGGGGGCTGACAGGGCCGTGGGCGCGCGGGAAGGACGCGGTGACTGTCCCCGGACAGGAGTGGGACCGGCAGGGCCCCTGCCGGGGCTCCGGCCGCTCTTCACCGCAGTCGAACT